TTTCCAGAATCTCTGAATATGCAAATGTTGTTCATTTCTAAAGTTTTCCTGCTGGACACAAGATGTCTCCTACTTCACTGTAAAGTCCATTCTCAGTGGATGTGCACTGGTGGCTTCAAGTTTCTACATCACACTGTACAAGCTGCATACTGGACCAGAACTGAATTCGAAACTGCACTGTGATTAGTTTGAACCACGCATCAGGCACATTACACAATGCAAGCAGAATGAAAAAGGGGACTCTTCACTCAGAACTCACTCTGGCTCCTCCAACAAATGCAGGCGACTTTGTGGCCTCTTCGTAGCTGTCGTAGACATTGGGATAACGAATGCGTTCGTACACTCTCTCTCTGCTGAATACAGGCTCCCGTCGCGCAGTCAGCAGGGCCTGCTCCCTGTACGAGAAAACACAAGACATATGGAACACGAAAAATCCAGAAAAGGAAGCGACTGTAAATAAAAGGTGCCTAATAGTATGTCAAAATGAGAAGAAAGAAGTCTAAGTCAAGGAAGAAAGGAATAAAGAGCAATGTCATCCCAACAAAAACATTACACACACAATGTCACATCTGCAGCCACTTGGTTCCATACATGAACCCTCACATACATCCATATTTTTGGTTGAGAATGAAAAGTGCAGTTGATGATTCAAATGAAGAGGCACAGATGTGAGGCATTATGTTCCTTTCTAAAGTGGCTTACCTCTCTGCTAATCTTTTCCTTCACACTGGGCTGGATTTGGCCATGCTAAGTTTTTAATTAAACAGATCACTGCTCTTTTTTTTCATCCTCTGAAATTAAACTTTCAGAAAAATCCTCTACAAAAAAAAAGATGTGACAAGCTGTAGCTATTTTGTAAACCTCCAGCCAAGTTGTCATGAAAAATTCAGAAACTTGTCGGTTTTTGGTGCTGAAGGTGCGCAGAAGGTGACGGACAAGACAAATGAGGGGAAAGGGAAAAAGAGAAAGTTTGGGAGAAAGTTTCGGGAGAGATGATGTACCGCTGGGCTCTCATCTCTTTGGGGTCGAAGGGCATGACTGCGTCTGAAGAGTCGCTGTCATCCGTTCCTTTGCCTCTCTTCCTCTCTCTCTTCTCTCCCCTGCGGTACATCTTCATCATTTGTTTCTCCTGCTCTGAATGGATGGTCACCTGGCACCCATAGGTGGGCTTGCTCACTTCGCCACCAACTTTTCGGCTCACATCTGGAGGAAATACAAACAAAAAGATATAGTAAATAAAAGCCAACATGCTAGGACATCAAAGGTTTGCCTGAACTGGATTAAATTACAGCATAATAGTATAATGCAAAGAGATAATATCTTAATGCCCTTAAGAGACAAAATCCAAAACACAGATGAGCGTACATTAGAAATAGCAGTAGAAACATCATGCTAATCAATGCCAATTTTTATGAAGTAACAACAGAGGGAGAAATGATTTTGTAGGAATTAAAGACTAATGCTATATTCAACAATGATCAAGAACTAAGGGGTTTAACAGTACATTCGTCACAAACTGTGAAACAGGACATTCAGTTCAGTACAAGACTTTCTTCACTTCACTATTCCCTGTGAACAAATCCATTACTGCCAATTTAGCCTAATACCTATTGTTGTATATATTTATTATTATTATTATTATTTATATTTAAATAATTTGTTTTTACTCACTTTTTATTAGTAGTATTGCTAACCTGCTTTTGTTTTATTAAGCACTTTAAGAGTATTTATCCCTGGATAAACAGTAATAAATAAACAGTTTGTTCTCATTGAGAAAACAACCTCAGGTGAGCCAGTGTCAGTAATAATGGATTCATATTTCAGCTATAATCTTGATAGCCCACTGATGTCAGGTGCATGCGGCATTGCACGGGTTAATGTTCCCCACTGCAGCCTCCCTGTTTGAGGCACAACAGCTCAATAAAAGGCAGAATTGCTCTTGAAAACAGATGAGATCTGATGATTGCACCACGGCCTGGGCTGATTGACTGAATGATTTCTTCTTTATCTCGTCTAGCGACTCTACCTGCTGCACAGCCTCCCTCTCGTTCCGCCAGCCCCCCTCTTCCTGTCACTCTTACCCTCCCTCCCATTACCTCTCCAACTCCCAACCCCTTTAACTCTGTCACCCTCTATGCACCAATTCCTCTGTCTAAACCATTCTCCATCCTTTACTTTCCCTCTCTCTGGGAGCTATTGTGCCTTATTATGTGTCTCCAACAGTGATTGTCTCCAAATCTCCAGGATTTTCATTTCCACAAGCGATCATGGTACCATAATCACTGTGAAAGGCATCGCCAAGATAGATTTTGTTTGTATATGCTAACTGTTTTGAGGTGTCTTCACACCTTTGAAACTGTAGTCTTTAAAATCAATAAGATTTTCAAAAAACATTTTTTTAGACTCTTTATAACCTAGCAGTGACGTAGAAGTCTTAACCTCAATGACTAAAAGATCCTTAATTCTATAATTTATCATGAATCAATGAATGGACATAATAGGTAAGTAAATATCAAACAGTTACCATTTTAATGCTTGTAATCCCTATATAACGTGTTGGATATGTGTTTACAGTTACAGTGGTACTAAACAAGTACATCTGTAATGTATATTTAACATTTCTGATCATGGTTTTTAAACAGCCACCTGAAACATAATCAAACTCTGACATATTTTACTTATCAATGCATAGGAAATGAATTCATCTACTAAACGAAATCAGATGTATATGTAAAAATTATACTGAACAAATTTAAATGCAAATGTTATTTGTGCTCAGGAGATATAGTTTAAGGTCTCCAACTGTTTTATGCACTCTACCAAATTTATTCTTTTACATTTTAAGCAGAAAAACTGGTTTATATATCCGTCTATGATTATTCCATCTGATGGCAGATGACATATCAAGTATCATTAGTATGTGATGTCCATTTCTCCAACATAAGCTAAGATAAGTTTTAGGGATGTGGCAACTAGTGATTATTTCCAGTATCAATTAATCTGTCGAGCATTTTCTCAGTAAATGGATTTGTTTTTTTTGTGCAAAGAAAATGTTGACACATGTCATAGAGGACTAACGGAACCAGGAAATATTCGAGAGAGAAAGAAAGTAATTTTATCTTAAATAACTCAAAACAATTTATTCATTATAAAAATAGTTAATTTAATCGTTGACAACTAATCAATAAATTGGCTAATCGTTCTAATGACATACGGCATCCTCACTTACGGCCAGTATCCATGGACACCACACTGAAGAGGACCACGGAAGAAGACTGGGACGCTCAAGTTTCTATGAACTGCAAATTAAACTCTTTATAACTATATGCAAGGGAGATGTCTTAAGCTCATCTTAGAATATGTAAATAGTAAGGATAGTGATAGTGAGTTACTTGCTACAGTTGCATTTTATTGAGAAATGGTAAAAACGCAAGAGAGATGAGAATGTTCACACCAACTCTTCCCTTCTGAAACGGTTTGATCTCCTCATGAATCTTTGGTCTGAACTGGGTTTTTATCCTGTAAACTGACTTTTCCAAGAACCCTTTAACTGTTTGGGGGGTCTGTTTGAAAAACTGATGAACATTTGTAGACTGAATGATGTGAATTGAAAACATGAACACATAATTGATCATTTTAGTTGATTTATTCCTTCTTATCAACCTCAGTTTAACTGTTGCATTTAAATGTTTGCTCAGCTAATCCTAAATTGCAGAATTCTGTAAAACAATGACATGATGTGATCAGATCTTCACTCCACAATTCCACTAAAAGTTGATAATGAATTATATTGAATTATTATGTACTTACAGCCCTATGTAGCTTGTTATCATTAGCCTTGTGAATGTACAGTTACTCAGTTTAAGACTGCGAAATGACAGTGAGACTAGAAAAATGCACTTATATTGGCTGGTAATCTAATCCCTTGGTTTAACTGCAGAATAATGCACAAATGTGCCCATTTTGCCTACAATATAAACTTAATTCAGCTCCAGCTGCTCCAGAGCTAATGAAATATTTCTGCTATCACAAAGTCATACAAAGCACTCTATAATCCTCCCTATAATTTTGTCTGCTCACAGTGTGGTTTAACAATTTCAATATATGGCTCTCACCCGCATTTAAATCCTATAATCGTGAAGAAACTCTTTAAAGAACACTGAATTCAAATCAATAACGAATTGTATAAATGACCTAAGTACTACTGGTAGCCAAATAGATATCCTTGTTGCAAGCATGAGGATGATGCAACAAGCATTCACTGAGTCCTTGTTTTTTGTGTTAGTTGTCACACTTACAGCTGTGAGCTTAGTTTGTTTTTCGAGGGACAGGGAAAAGCCTCCATTCTGATCATGGCCTAAGGAAATTGTCTAAAATGCTTGTCAGAGAAACACTGGCATCATCTTGTTGTTAAATTCACAACAGAACCATTTGCTAAGGTACATCAAGTCTGGGAAACTGATTTTTGTGTCATTTTCTGCACATATTCCTCGACACCTACTGTACCACACCAGAACTGAAAAGAAATATGCTTAATGACCCAGTCAAAGGCATTTGTACACACAAACACAAGCACTCAATGGGAGGTGATTTCTATCAGGTTGGAGCTGTCAGCATCCCACCGGGTTCCACCTCTCAGTGTGTCTCCTTGCTGTTTTGGAGAAGGCTAGACAATACAGCTCAAACTTTGACAATGGCTCTAGAGCTGCTACAGCGCAAACAAACAGAAGTAATGCCGAAGTTAAGCTACAACTACAATAAAAATATAGTCGAATGCTGAAAGGGATAGCAAAAAAGGGCCTATTTACACATCCAGCAGACGTGGAGCAACCATAACACTTAATATTAAGGCTTCTGGCCACCTGATAAATGTACGTCTAATATTTAGGGCTGCCCCCTAATACAGTGGTTGCCAACCTTGTTCCTTAAGTGAGCCCTGTTCTCTCATTGAGTAAACCGACAACCCCTGACTTAGTGACATATTTTATGGATATTTCATATTATATAGAAAACTGTAAAATGAACCCAAACAGTGAACTCAGTAACTGCAAGGCGAGTGATTTTGATTAATTTTGAGCAGATTATTCCCTGTTTAGAAAACTTTGTATGCAATTTTCTGTCTGTATTATGTATTTTTTTAACAATCATACAGACTTAATAGGCTTCTTTTATAACAAATTTGGTGTTTTTTTGTCCCTGGCACTTGGCTATTGTTCTATTAGACAGTATACTTTACATTTACTTTTCTTCACAGAAGTCAACCAAACGCTGAGATATAGAACTGCTGCAACCCTTAGTAGGGGTCCCGACCCCCAGGTTGCCGATATTTAGAGAGCAGAGGCCAATATATAATGCAGATATAAAAGCAAAATTAAGTAATGTAGATTTCCATTATTCTATTCTCATTACAATCGAATACACTTGGTTATCTTAGCAGGACACATGTTACTGTAGATGGCATTTTTATTAATTTTTATTATGCTGTAGATTTCAGAATGTAACTGGTATTTAGGGAGAGCAGAGTACAGTATGTCATTCAACTGCATTATTCAATACATTATAACACAATATATATATTTCATCCGAGCCAGTAAAAGTTTTAGCTTATAGTTGCTGTCATTTAGGAGAAACATGTTATATTTAAAAAAGACGATGGTGACAAATGTTTCCAGTAGGATGCATCAAACTTCACAAAGGGGAGCCCTGACATCGTTCCCCAGCAGCCACACTGACAGCCTGCCTGCAGACATTTTTTTTTTTTTGTCTGTCTGTGTTGTTATCTCAAAATGCCCGATATCGGATAATCCAGGAAAAAAAAGTTAATTTAACGTTATACATCAGTTTGTTTGAGCTGTTAGAATTAGAAGGCGGCTGATGCTAACAGCTTCATATATCATATGGGTATATATGTATTTTAAAAATGTAATTAATATTGTTTAACAACTAGTTGACTAATGGCTTTAACTAACAACTACTAGTAGATTAGGAAAATGTTTAGTCGGGGGCAGTCCTACTAATATTCAAACACCTTTTAGCTCGGTTTTGGTCTCACCTTGAATGTGTCGGTTATCGGCGATTGGGTCCATCATTGGTTGCTCTTTTTTTTTTGGCAAGATTTTTGGGTGATCAAATGTCTTGTTTTGTAAGTAAAGTAGTCCAAAACCCCAAAATATTAAGGTTTCTGTCACAGAATTGTAGAAAAACCAACGAATACTATCCAAAACTAATCTAACCAAAAATCAATTAAAAAAACCCAATGACTTCAAACTCACTTCCGGGTTTTAGGACTCATTCCTGCAGCACTCTATTATTGTAATATATTATAGTATGTCAATGTTACTGGACTTTCACCTCGAATGTCACTTGCCAACACCTGTTAAAAACTTTCTGGATGTGTGGACATGTTGTCTTCTTAATTGTCCATTCCATATACTGCTGCCTCTATCAGCCATTGAAATGTGGAGAGGAGCCACCAAGAGAATCCGTTCTTTGATAAACATGCAAGTGCCAAGCTGCAAACTGCAATTTAAAAGCTAATCAGCAAGAGACAGGCATTCCCACTAAATCCCACTCTTCCTGATGGCATGCAAATAGTGGAAAATTTAATCAGCCTTTTTTAACCCTCAGTCGTCAAGGCAACACTAATCTCAAAAGCTGTCTGGCAAGTGAAATTTTTAATGCTGATCAAAAGTTCTTCATAATGGGAGTAACATCAGCTGAGGTTTGAAGAACACGACTGCAGTGCTGTCTTGTGCTGTAGTGATATGTGGTTGGTTTAGTTACACACTGCCTGATAAAAGGTGAGACAGAACTTTACACTGAATCATAGGTAGCATGTATTTCAGACTCAGATTTGTCTAAGATTTGTCTTATCCATCAAACCTGTCATCTTGCCAGGTTAGAGGATTGTGACAATGAGGGAGAGTGAAATCTAATACCCTGTGTATTCAGCAACGCTGCGCTCAACTGCTGTAATTTATCTTCTAATATCCACGAAGCAAGAGCAAAAGCTGATGGTGAGCACTGGTCTAGAACTATTTGGACTCGTAGGCTTTCCAAGCTATTAGATCCATCAACTTAAGTCTGCAAAACTTTTTGTCTGGGCCTGATACTTTTTCACTGGTAAAAAATCATTGAGGATCACTAAGATTAATTTTTTAGGACCTCGATAGCACCCATGTATGGATTATTCTCAACGGAGAAATACTGTTCATAAAACACTTCAGAAAGAGCCCTTAGTCACGTATTTACTGGCTGATATATCAGGGCTCTCACTCTTTAAAAAAATATTTTTCCAGGGCCTTTCCAGGACACTTCTAAGTAAAGTAGCTGTAGTAAAAAGTAGTAAGTAAAGTAGTAAACCTAACAATCATTAGAAATACATTTCCAGATAATTAGTTTATTATGCAGCTTTCAGGCTCCAATTTAAAAGAAGCTGTACTCATAATCCTGGTTGTACTGTTAACTAGTGGTGACTTTAGAGCCTAAACTTCAGGGTGCCTATGACTGGAATCATACATATAAACTTGTCATCAAGAGGGAGCCATATAAAGGCCAGCACACTAGATGATGGGATTGCTGATCCCAAAAAGTATTCAAGTACTCTGTGTCATGTCAGTAAGTGTTTTTTTTTCTCAACCAATACCAATATTGATATTTGAGAGTTTAAGAAGTATTTTTATATAAACACACAACAATCATTTTAAGGAGCAACTAAATTAGATTTTTCATAGAATTTTTACGGAGCAGATTTTTAGCAAGCAGGTTGGTGTCTGTGCTCTATGGTGGACAAGCCATGTAATATTTCTCTTAAACATATTTTAGATTTTCTGTACTTACATTTTTTATTACTCTCTCCCAACACATCCTTGACTGTACCGACCTTCCAGCATTCAAATCTCTGACAAAAACTCACCTTTTTAAAATTGGCTGTGTTAATGTTTAGCACCACTCTACTATTTGATGTTGTTTGCTTGCTTTTATGTTTTCGTGTCTTTGAGTATTTAGAAAATAAAACATATTATTATCATTATTACTTATTGACGTACATATATACTGATACTAATAATATCGCTAATATCAGCTAATATATTGATGTGGCCGATCTGTTCTCAGCGCTAGGTTCCATACCTGCCATAACACTGCATAACATAAAATGTCATTAAATACTCTCCTCACCCTCTTCTCTGTGAAGCACCACTTCTCTGTAATCTGCCGTTAGTGTGAAATTGTTCTCCATGGTACCAGTGGTACTGGTAATCGAGCCGGGTTTTCTTAAATCTGGAGAACAAGATTTGTAGACAAGGGCTTCTCTGCAGCAGTACAATACTGTTTGCGATGCCAATTTGTGGTTTTGATAATATTTCGATTAATTGTTTAGCCATAAATTGCACCACTGGAAGTCAAAAACTCCAAAGGGTACCTTTAAGAAGACAAATTCACGTCATACAGTGTGTGAACAAGAAACTATGTATTACTTTCTTTTTTCCAACACTAAAAATGCATCTGAATTATTAAATATTAGCAACTGATTTAATCAAATTGAGTCTATTACATCATGACTGAGCTTTTTTGTTGGGGGCTTTGAATGTTTCACTTAACTTTGTATTAAAATGTGTTAACACCACTGGCTACAGCCATCATTTCACTGGCCAATATTCCATCTGAATTAGAGTCATCAGTATACATCAATGATTTCACCTGACCAAATAAACAAACAGAGCAACTAGTCTACATTAATAAGCCCATGTACTGTTTTACACCCCGTTTTAAAATCTATATTTAGGACCTGTGAATTTAAAAATACTACCCAAACTCTAAAGGATGAGTGTGTGTGACTTTAAATAGTTGCAGGGATTATTCTGACAAAGCAGGAGCTCTCTCTTCTAATCTTCAACCACTCTTTGATGTCTACCTTGCATATAGATCAGAAGACAGCTCTGGCAAAGTAAAACTATCCATCCTTACCTTTCCACCAGTATCTGCATCTACTACAGCTAAAGGAGGGGAAAACAAGAAGATGGGTCTGCCTCCTCAGGTCAAAAGACACAGGGGGTTGAGACACAACACAGGCTCAGGATGGAGGATGGCGTTTGAAGTAAAAAAAACATGCAGGCATGTTAGGCAGGTACATCAACAGTAGGGCTGCTTTAGTACAGCTCACTATCAAGCCCTCTGAAATACTATATCATACAAAATCAATGAACACAGCCTTACACTGCTGGGAGAGGTAAATAACTACAGCAGAAACCAGTGTAAACCAAGTCCACGCAAGAGCCTGTGCTGATTTGGGCCAACACCATGCACGTGTCAGCCTACTTCTCTATCAATATGGCATGATATTCTATAATTCTTCTTATTCATGAGAGTTATTAAAGTAGGGACAGAAATAGAGAGGACGCCCGCAAGGGAGGCTTTAGTCTGGTCTTCATCATTTCTGCTAGATGGCATAAAAAACGTGACAGAAATAATGAAGCATTGAGTTAAAGACCAATCTTTAGGTAACAGTCTTTCAAAGTGCCACACGGTTCAAACAACATACTGATACACTGACCGTGATAGACAATGGGTTTAACATAATGTTGGAATCCAAAAATCATCGAGCCAGACATATTTTTTATGGTATTAACAATAACAACAACAACAACAATAACAAGAATAAAATCTCAAATTTATAAAAAAAAATGTTTTATCCAATCTCCAAAACAGCTGTGTAGCTGCTGCCAAAACAGCTGTGTAGCTGCTGCCACTAGCTCGTTAGCAGTCCTACTAGCTGTCTGTTCCCAAACAGGGAGCTTAAAGGAGTTTGGTAGCGGGTGACCCAGCAAGTAAAGAGCAATGGAACCGGAGCATGGCTGACCAACAGAGGCCGGCTGATTTATAGAGGCTCTGAACCATGAAACAGAGGAAGAGGAGCGCGTTTGTAGTAGGTTAATTTGTAAGTAACTGTTAACTTCCATCATCCATGGTATCAACAAGTCTACCAGTATTTGTTTCAGTAAAGTTGGAAGTTATTCATTCTGTGCTTTGAACAATGAGACTGTGTGATGTTACCCTTGGTGGAAACTAAACAAACTAAAGGTTGTTCTGACACATTCACAATCATTTCCACCTTTTCTGTTAGCATTTAACAGGCCGCTGTTCAGGCGGGTAGGATTAGGCTTAACATTGCCATTTAAGAGCCTCGGAACAAGCTCAACTTTAACCAAGCTGTACTAGTTAAGTTAGGGTTAGGGCACCTCTGTCTTCTTTAAACTACAGGAGGAAAATGCCAGCAGCAGCCTAGTTAACTAGGGGTGTAAGAAAATATCCATACACTTAAGTAGCGCAATATTTAGTTTTGATATTGTATCAATTCTCAAAAACACTGAATAGACTTTTGTCTTTAAACTCCCAACCACTACACAGTAGTGTTGTAAAAGTAAAGTAAAGCTATGAAGTAGGATGTTGTAGGGACTGTGATACAAAGCAGAACCCACTGTTCTAGTTCTTACTCTTTTATGCATATGGTGGGGTGTTCTATACATACATTCTATATATATATATATATATATATGACATTCATGACAAGTAGAGTTTGTGTTACCCTGGAGATGACCTGGTTGCCATGGGGTTGTCTCACCTGATGGGTAGCCAGTCCTGTCAGGTGGGATGGCGAGCAGGGAGTCCACGATGGCCGCCCTTTGCTGGAGGAGAGTGGAGATCATCTCTAGCCCCTCTGGGCCCAGCAGCTCGAACAGCTGGAGGGACAGGGCGGAAGGGAGGGGGTGAAAATTCAGTAGCCACAAGCCAAAAACACATATCTACAGCGGCAGCAGGAAGCGTACCACCACACACACATCCAAACATGTACTATATACATCCTATGGCTCACCAACACCGCCCAAACACGCTGCTACTTGGCAGGCTGAGCACCTGGTAATTACCATCCGCCTGGTACAGAATATGCTCTGCCGCTTAGCCTCCCAAACATAGCCACCTGGCACTTAGCAAGTGACAGAAAAACAACAACAACAAGAAATCCTGTGCACAGCAGCGGCGGCGACAGCTCACAATTAAAAGCATAGTGAAGACGGGGCTGCAGAGACACTCATCAATATCATTGTGAGGCAGAAGTGGGAGTAATGATAAAGTTTAGGCTTTCTAATTGGAAAATAGTAGACATGAGGACCTGGGGTATGTAATTTGAACCTGTACAACAATGTGGGGCTGTTTTCTCTCTCCTTTCAGGGTTGGTTTTAGGATGGAGGTATGGCTTGCTCTTTCAGTCTGTCCTCCCTTGGGGAGGCAATAGTCAGCACAGCAGGGAACTAAAACAACAGACGCACTTTGATGTCAGGTCAGCCATCGTCTTTGTTGGGGTTATCTTTGTTTCCCTCTGTGGTCTCTTTTATATCTGCTCTAAATTTCTATTGGTCCCTGCGAATGTCTCTGTTTTATTAGACTTGAGTGTACACTATGTGGGATTGGGAGGTGGTGGGGTGGGCTGGGGTTTCACCTGCTCAAAGGGATTGTTTTTATGAACTCATGAATTCCGTCCTTGCACTTGACTGATTAGGTGTGGGTTCTGCTGGGACTGAGGCAGAGTTTCTCCTTCAGATGGACTCTACAGTCCACCATCCTGCAGGCAAGCTCAGTTCCAAAGCATTAACTGTGTAATAACTCCACATGTGCAAAGCTACAGGTCAGGAGTGTAAAGACCTGTGTCCTTCTCCTGTGTCCCCTCCTATCTGTGATTAAATATTCAGCCTTGATGCTCAATGTTTCAGCCGGTAAATGGAACAATTACAGCATTGTTTGAACTGAGTCACCACCAGGCAAGGCTGTATCTCTCCTGAGATAAATTCAATACAAAAAATGCAAGATTAGATTTAGATTCATTTTAAGCAGTCACATATTCTAAGCATTGCCATGTGATGACTCTGGCCAATGTTTGTGAAAAGAAATATTTAGGCATAAATACATGCATAAATAACATAGTAGATTAAAAGAGAGCATGAGACTGGCAGCTGCTGGTGCATCTGGCTTCGACCAAGATGACACGTGTGCAACGCAAGGCGTCTCTCCAGACTCTGTGAATTCCTATTTGTTTGAAGTCTGTTCACTCAGAACAGCCCTGCTTCCATATTAAAAAGCCAAAGATTGAATTTCAAAACTCTTTAGGGTGGCAGTAGCTCAGTGTGTAGGGACTTGGCTTGGAAAACCGGAGGGTCACCGGTTCAAGTCCCCCAGATCATAGTATGGAGTGTGGACTGGTAGCTGGAGAGGTGCCAGTTTTACCTCCTGCCGAGATGCCCTTGAGCAAGGCACCTAACCCCAAAACTTGATTGTGTGCATTTCAGCCTGTGTGTGTATTAAAATAAAAAGAAAGAGTGAAAAAAATGTATCCAATAGGGGATTAATAAAGTAAATCTTAAATCTTAACTCACGCAACTTACTCAACTTACTCACACTGCCATCTTCAAGTTTCTGAGTGTCCACATCTTAGAGGATCTCTCTTAGACCCTCAACACTTAGACCCAGGTCAAGAAGGCAGACATGTGTCTCTCCTTGCAGGTAAGACTAAAAAAGTCCATCTGTCTCCTCAGATTCTGCCCAAAGTCTATCACTGCACCATCAAGAGTATCCTTACCAACTGCATCACAGTATGGTATGGAAACTGCCTAATGCATCACCAGTACTCAACTCCCCACCATTAAGGCTGTCTAGCAAAAGCAGGGTCTGCGCAGCATTGTCAGGGACACCTCTCACGTAGGCCGCAGACTGTTTGCCTACCTCCCCTCTGAGAGGTGCTGAAGGACAGCAGGCTCAGGAACACCGTCCTCCCCTCAGCTGTCACCTTGCTGAACTGAACCTAGGGATGGGAATCCAGAACCGGTTCCAGTTGAGAACCAATCCATCAGAATAATATGCATCGGAGCTTAGGGTTAGGGTTAGCTGAAAACCTGCTTAAGCCTACTTTATTCCACAGAGAAAACTGATAAGGAATAAATAAGGGAATTGCTTAAAAATTTGGACCTATAAGCACAAACGATAATGGCATTGGTTAAAAAAAAAATCCTATCAATTTCCATCCCTATGTGTACCTCAGCGATAGCCCCCGCCCCTCGCCTCCTACACATCTTCCTCCAGTCACCAGACATTTTCTTGTTCACACCTCCTCCCTGGAACACCAATCACCACCCGCCTACCTCTGGTGATTGAACATTTGCACTAGGACTGTATGCTTTTCACAAACCCATACAAACTACCATTCATACTACTGTTCATGCTGTAGATCACTGACCCATAGAGATCTATGAGATTCATATACCACCTGTACTGTCCTGATGGATGCATCTGGCTTTAGTGAGCTGGTAAACTGGTAAACTGGTCTGGACTAGAGGTGTTGAAATTAATCACTCTCTTCTCTCCTCTCTCTCCGCTCCGCTCCGCTCTCTCTCTCTCTTCTCTCTTTCTCTCTCTCTCTCTCTCTCTCTTCGCTCCTCTCTTCTCTCCTTCCCTCTCTTCTCTGCTCTCGCTCTCGCTCTCGCTCTCGCTCTCGCTCTCTCTCTCTCTCTCTCTCTCTCTTTCTTCTCTCTCTGCTCTATCAATTGCTTCGCCACAGAAGCAGAATTGTAAAACTTCAGCTGCGTTACAGGTTAGTTCCAATGTTTCTCACGTAGTTGACATTTCGGAAGTGAACTCTTTTCCCACTGACATCTTAGATGTAGAACACCCTGTGTGTTGTGCTGTGTGTGGTGAGTTGAGAGAGAGAGGAGAGAGAGAGAAGGGAGAGAGAGTGGCACCTGCAGTCTTCCATGCATCCACTCTGTGTGACTCCAAAGTCAACAGTAAGTTGAAAGGCTCGCCACTCAGCTGCCCATTAAAGAGCTGACAATGGAGGAAACCTGCTTTCTTATTATTTCTCATTGCTAACCCTCAATTGCTGACATTTCATCGTAGTCTGCAAGTTTCTGGGAGGAGTGTTACAGTGGGAAATCCATTTTGGTTATATACAATAGCCTTCAATGGGAGGGCAGTTTGACAGGGCCATGTTGAAGTATCCTCACGTTAATTGATAGTTGAAACCTACAGTGAAAGTGTTAAATGCTGAGCTTCGGATTAGGAACCTATTAAAACAGGATTTCTCAGTTACCACAATCACATTTCTTTGCACATGTTTACTACCTCAAAACACGACTCATTAGTCATCTGTACACTCAAGCATCTTTAACAGCCTACAAAAGGCTGGTCCAGACTTAGAGGTGTGAATTAGTCACTGATCCCAATTCGCCTTCGATTACATATATCATGGTCTCGATTCGATTCGATTCCTCGATGCATCACGCATGCTTCAACATACATTCATAAGCCAAATATGATATACTTGACTGAAATTGCATAGATAACTGTATAGCAATTATAACATTTCTATATTAGTTCAAAATGGTTGTTTTTTCATCCAAAAATACAAGTAGTAAAATCTTTTTTATTTACTCTGCGCTTCTCCTCCGTTTTCTTTTATCCTGTCAAGAAACTTCTCCATCCTCCTCCCACCGTCAATCCCCCTGCCTGCCCGACAATCTCATGCACCCCCCAGGCGGGCGCGCCCCACTATTGAGAAGATGTCTATGATGAAACGGGTTTAGCTACTGGGAGAATGTTATTTTTCATTTGAAATTTAGCCGCGGCCGGAAAAATTCAAACGACGACATCATTGCGTTATAATGATATGGTCGGCACTATCTGCCATCGAGCTATGCATTGTTCATGTCTGCATCGCGAGTGCATCGATTATTGGATTAAT